GCCCTGCTCTGCCAGGCTTTCTGCGCTCTCACCTCCCCACATGTCCCATGACAGGCAAGAACCGGTATTGGAAAGGTGTTTGTTGGTGTCCGGTTCTCAGAAAAAAAAAAGTCGAGAGTCCTCGTCTTCCTGCTTCCCCCGCCCCCAGACATCCCCTTCTGTGTTTCTGATATTGTTTTGAAAGCGCGGATTCCATATTTTCACTGCATGTACAGCGTTCTGTTCCTGCATGTCATGTGTGGGGCGCATCAGTCCGAGACCAGATCTATCGAAAGGGGAATGAGGGTCCCCATGCGAGCAGCCAGCAGACAAGGCCTCCAGCCCTGCGCTCTCTGACCCAATGAACCCTGACACCTCCCTTATGGGGCTGTGGCTTCTCTCTGCACGATCCCAATAAGCCCTAACAGACTTCCTCCTGGTACCCTTACTAGCCCACTGGCCTCAGCGCCAACCTTTGGGAGCTTCCTGTAATTAAGAGCAGCCGGTCCCCGGTTACTATGTTAAATAGCTGGATCTTTACCTCCCCCTGGGACAGCAGCAGAAATTCTGGACTGTGATTGCAGATGTGAGGTGGGTTCCTTTAGCCACGAGGCCTCTTTGAAACTCCCAGCCCTGCGCTAGGAGCTGAGTGGTCTCTGCCAGGCCCCCTGACAGACAGGGGCAAAGGGGGCAATTGCCCAGGGGCCTCTCAGCCCAGCGCGGGCACTCAGGTCAGTGGGGACAGTCACCTGACTAAAGGTCCTAAGATCGGGGTCATTGGAACTGGTCAGAGAGAGACTGAGGCACAGGGAGAAGCAGACGTGGATTGGAGAGAGATGGGGGCAGGAAAGACACAGAACGCGACTCCCACTAAATAAGATAGACCTAATCCTTCTGTATTGGGGGGTAGCCGTCTTAGTCTGTATCCACAAAAACAACCAGGAGTCCGGTGGCGCCTTAAAGACTAACAGATTTATTGGGGCATAAGCTTTTGTGGGCAAAAATCCCATCTCTTCAGATACAGATACACCGACAGGGAGAGGGGGGTACCCCGGAGATAGATTCTGGCCCTTCTCTCCGCCACACTCAAAGAAACTGAGTTCACTCCAGGAAATAATTGGAGTCTCTTATAAGAAGGGAGATATGTAAATAGCGGTGAGAGTTTCCTGTTTAAAGCTGTCTCTCTCACTTCCACAGCTGCACCTGGACAGACAATCTGCAGCCTCTGTCTCTGGGCAGTCACCAGACAACCCCCTGAAAACTCTCCTCTCCAAACACAGGGACAATGAGACTTTGGTTGTATCTCGTTCTCATTGCAGCAGCGTTTGAAGGTATTTTCTCCCTTGCCATGTGTTGGATAGTCAGGGGATCGTTATTCTGTTTCCCTACATACTCATGTTCCCCGTAATTCATCTTTATCCCCAGGTGTCCGGTCCCAGGTGCACCTGGTGGAGTCTGGAGGGGATGTGAAAAAGCCCGGAGACTCTCTCCGCCTCTCCTGCAAAGCCTCCGGCTTCACCTTCAGCAGCTACTACGTGGGCTGGGTCCGTCAGGCTCCCGGGAAGGGACTGGAGTGGCTCACCTGGATTCACGGCTCTAGCATATACTACAGTGACTCCATAAAAGGACGATTCACCATCTCCAGAGATGACCCCAACAGTCTGCTGTACCTGCAAATGACCGGCCTGAAGCCCGAGGACACCGCCCGCTATTACTGTGCGAGGGACACAGTGAGGGGAATCCGGGTACTGCTAATACAAAAACTCAAGCTGCAGAATCTTCTTTCTGCCATGCGCCATGCGCCATGTGGGGGGGCAGCACTTCCACAAACCATCCAGCCCTGGGCCCAGGAACGGGATCTAGAACCAGAGCGAAAAAACCTCTCTCATCAGGTTTGAGATCTCTGTATTGATATACGATCACGTGTCCATAAAAACTGCAACAACTTTACTACTCACATGCTTACACTGGCGCTCATCAGACACTGAAGTAAAACTGCAGACTGCACAAGAGAAATATTTGGGGAACCAATTGTTCAGTGTGAGAATCAGAACTTGGGCTTCCAAAGCCGCCTAAAAGTGATGACTGTGCAAATGCTTTTTTTGTTTGTTGGGGGATGGGTAGAATTGCTCTCAAATCCCCCTGAAAAACAATAAGATGCCAGTGTCGATCTAACACACACTTCAAAGGGTACATCAGGCTCCAAACACCTCTAGACTCAACAGAAAAACAGATTTTCCCCCCGATTCTTCCCTTTTCACTTCTCTCTAAGGGCCTGACCCACAGTCCGCTAACGCCAGAGGTGGGTCTTTCCATTCACTTCACTTCTTTCCACACAACAGACGGTAGCTCAGCCCTTACACCTGGAGGGATGGGAGGGGATTCAAGGGAGCTCTTGGTGAACCTGTATGGTCAGATGGCCTCGCACTCGCTGGGTGCTGCCCAGACTCAGAGTTCGCACCAGTCCGACTCCCTCCCTTAGAGCCACTGGCCAAATAACTCCAAGCATTCAGGGAAAGGGTTTGTGTCTCCTATAAGTGGGAGATATTCAAATAGGGGTGAAAGTTTCCTGTTTAAATCTGTCCCTCTCTGCCCAGGCTGCAGCCAGAGACAATCCGCAGCCCTCTGGTGTCTATGAAGTTACCAGCCAAACCCACCAGATAAGTATCCCCTCCAAAACCAGGAAAAATGAGACTTTGAATCCATTTTGTTCTCGTTGTAGCAGCTCTGGAAGGTATGTTCTCCCCTGAGTGCCCTGAAGAATATTGAGTTGCTGAATATAACATCAATATGCTTTAAAGTGCCTTTATTTACAGGTGGCCGGCCCCATGTCCAGCTGGTGGGGTCTGGAGGGGGAGTGGAAAAGTCATCTTTGGAGACTACTGGATAAGCTGGGTCTGTCAGGTTCCTGGCAAGGGCCTGGAGTGGATCTAAATAAATATGTGGAGATATACCTATCTCCTAGAACTGGAAGGGACCCTGAAAAGTAATTTAGTCCAGCCACCTGCCTTCACTAGCAGGACCAAGTACTGATTTTTGCCCCAGATCCCTAGTGCCCCCTCAAGGATTGAATTCACAACCTGGGGTTTAGCAAGCCCATGCTCAAACCACTGAGCTATCCCTCCCCCCAGCCTTGTATAAGCTACTGGGCCGGCAGTATTGTACATTACGCCAGCTCGATCCAAGGCCGATTCACCATCTCCAGGGACAATCCCAACAACCTGCTGTATCTGCAAACGAGCGACCTGGAACTCCAGGACACTTCCCTGTATTACTGTGTGTGACGAAGTGGGACTGTTCTTAATGTTTTCCTCAGTTTCCCCTATGCAGTTCTTAAGTATGCTCAGCCTGTTGCCGGTCTGGGGTTCCAGCCACTGGCTCTTGCCAGACGGGGTCTCTGCTCCTGGCTCTGCTCAGCCCACTACCGGCCTGGGGTTCCCTTCACCCAGGCCGGGTTCCCTTCCGGCCTGGGGTTCCCTTCACCCAGGCTGGCAGCGGGCTGAGCGGGGCCGGTGGCCGGGACCTTGGCGTGCCATTAAAAATCGGCTCGCGTGCCATCTTTGGCACACGTGCCGTAGTTTGCCGACCCCTGTTCTACAAAGTCCTCCATTTGTGGTGTGAGGAGAGTCTGAGATATTTAAGTGCGTACAGAGGCAGATAGGAGCCTGGAAACGGAGTTTTAAAGGTATTTAGGTGCCTAAAGAGGCAGATAGGGGCCTTTGTAAACTCCATTAGAAACCTATGTGAGTTAGCTGCCTAATTGCCATTGCCGTTAAAAAAAAGTAAGAGAAATTAAATATTCCGAGGTAGAGAATCACCTTTGCAGCGTGTTGATCTAGACTTGTTCATTTGGTCAGAGGGGACGAGGCATTGGACAGCTTTTTCTCACACACCACTGCCTACCTTTAGACCACCTTTACCACAACTTTGGCTAATAAGTTTTTCTGTCCCACCTTGACTGCATGCTTTCTTTGCACAAAGCAGCTTTCCCCTGTGCCAGCGATTCAATTGCACTGTTTAAAACCACAAAGTCTTCTTATGCCAAGTAACTCCCTCCCCCTTAGATATGCTGTACGCTAGGTCTGAAAGTATGAGAACTGGGATTCTAGACTCTTTCCAAAGAGAGAAGGAGGAGGATCCGTGCCCCAGGTAACATACAATGTAGAAATAGACAGACAAGTTAACAAACAGAGGGTGGGTAGAGGAAAGATTTGCAACCAGCATGGAGTTGTATTAACAAATGTTATAGAAATACGGTAACAGCATTATAGTGAGATTGGGTTCAATTTTACCACTTCATACTTCCTCTTGAAACATTAACCTGGTAGGTTCAGGGTAATGTTGCTGGGACTGCAATTAAGGATTTGTGTTACACTGTTGGAGGAAGAAAGAAGATCCCTGTGAGGTAGCAGTGTGAGATATCAGACTTGACTAT